GGCTTTTATGCACTGGTCAATTTTGAGATTTTTGGGATTTTGGCTTTTCATAACGTGTTTTTATTTATTTTTTCACTTTAAAGATAACCTATTAAAGGGATATGTTTTGATATGTTTTAGGTTACCTCAAGGGCATCCAAGATGTAGGTGTCTTTGTTTCCACAGTATTTTGACATTTTTCGGGTCAAACCATTGTTGTCTGTCAGTCATGTAATGCAGGTTTAGGGGGTCCACGTCAAAGAGAAGTCATAATTAAACATGATTTAATGACTCGTAAATTAGGGCTGGGTAATAAATATCGATTTCTCGATATTAATCGATTCTTAATCTTACGAACCGATGTCGATTCTTAAATCTCAAGCTACAAATATATAGCTACAAAACAGTTAATTATTACCTTCATATTTGGCTAATGAAGCCTAGTAGGCTACAACTAGACTCCCATACTTTACAGCATTAGTTAAGAGATTTGATTTCCTTGAGAACATTTGCAATTTATTGTAACTGATATCCAAAATAATCAATATTGAATCGAAATCGAATCGAATTGCAAGCTTGTGAATCAAAATCGAATCGAATTGGGAAATTGTGTCAATACCCAGCCCCATCGTAAATATAAGTACACATTGATGGCCTAAGACACGAAACGAGCGGTTTGTGTGAGAAAACGAACCGTATTTATATCATTTTTTCGTCGTGTAACCACAGTCATGTCCAAATGATCTGAATCAGTTGTCCAATGTCCAACTGAATCATGTTCAACGTTCCGCCGGAAGTGATCGCTTGCGCGTGTACGTCACTTATTGTTTACACAGAGATTTCGTAAGTTTTACCATTATTTTTCACATATTTTTACATTGTTGCAGCACCTCTGTTCCCATTAGTCAGCAGTGGTCTTGGAAGCACCTCCTTCTGAAAAAATGCAGTCTGCTGCTTTGATTGGTCAGATGGAGTGTGTTGTGATTGGCCAACCATTTTTCAAGCTTGTTTCGAGAGTTTCAAAACACTACTAACGCAATATGGATATGCCTTGGGCAATTATTTAAACAAGGTAATATGATATGTACGATTCCCCAAGAAAACTCAAGACTACAATGGAAGCGTTTCAGTGAGTTCAGAGACAGTGCTTACTGATATATCCAATAACTCCCTTTGGAATGACTTTGCTTTGTAACTTTGCAGACATTTTTCATGCTCAAACAACATAATTATATACTAAAGAAAGTTGAAAATGTAAAAAAGCATAATAGGTCCTCTCAAGTGTTTTATTTTTATTTAAATGTTTTTAGAGTGGTTTGTCAATATATAATTTGCCTGATTTCAGAGAGGCTGCTCACTGCAGAGCCAATCGGTAAAGCTTGACATCATTTGGCTCTACAGTGAGAACCACTTGTGATTTTATACAACATCTTAATTCTTAAAAACATGGGGAACTTTAAAACATAACACTAAAAATGTTTGCAATTCCTAATGTAATCAAGCTGAGGAAGTATGGTGATACATATTAGTTACATTTTTCACCCCCCCAAAATTTCTTTCCTCGAAAAGCGTTTCTTCGACTGGATATTCTCAAATCCGTGCTTACAAAATCTGCTTTTGTCTAGTACAGCATGAAATCTCTGGCAATACATTCAGCAGGAGATTCCCAGCTGAATTCACATAAAGACGAGCTAAAGCTGATTACATCCACAACGCTAATAAAACTTCTAATAAAATTAACATGCCTTACAAAATATTGCCACAGTAATGCTTATAGCTGTTACTTACTACAGTTGTTTTTACTATGATAAAACTGTGGGAACATGATATTATCTACGACTTCCCACCCCCCACCCCCACCCCACAATGTGGCCATGATTGACAATCAAAACAAAAAATATGATCATAATTAATTTTTAAACATTAATTAAATTTACATATTAATATATATTCTGTTATATTATACAGTATATTTCAGAACATACATAATAATATGTTGTGAAAAGTAGCTAAAGCCAGATAATTATAAATATTATTTATGTTTTTTGTTAGTTTGTTGTTTTGTTTTTCAAAAGAAAAGTTGCAAAAGCAAAGTCATTGCAGATCCAGGTTGTATGTTTCTGATTAATGACCCTTGCTCAAGAAACATAAGTTGAATGTCAAGACAAACGCACTGCTGAAATACAGCTACCGCTGCTGTTACAGGCAAACAGGTTTGAATACAAAATACCTTCTGTTGTGCATGTAGCAAGTCTGAATCATTCACTCACATGAGATCAGATCAACCAATAGCAAACCAAAACCATCCAATTAATTCTCCATGGACAAAATCATGTCCCGCCCTACATTTTTTCTTGTTCGAGAAGCTGTTCTTGGATATATAATAGGAAAGAACAGACTATCGTGCAGACTTTAAGATTTGGGTGGGACAAAATGACAAAAACCATAAAATGTGGACACGGGGTCACTGAAAGAACCATGTCAAACGTACGATCCATTTACAAATCAGACTTCACTATGCTCATTGCTCACATATTAAACAGTTAAAGGAATAGTTCACCCACAAATAAAAATTCTGTTATTAATTTGTTCCAAACCTGTTAAACTTTCGTTCATCTTCAGAACACAAATGAAGATCTTTTGACGAAATCTGAGAGCTTTCTGTCCCTCCATAGACAGCTACGCAACTACTACTTTGATGCTTCAAAAAGTTAATAAAGAGATCGTAAAACTAATCCAATGCGAATTGAGCGGTTTAGTCCAAATATTTAGAAGAGACACGATCGCTTTATATGATGAACGGATTGAATTTAGGCTTTTATTCACGTATACACATTCATCAACTCACACAGTTGTGGTAAACAGAAGCTCAAACATGTTTGCTTTACTTGCGAGAACCAATAAGGTTAATTCTTGTGTTAAGCTTTGTAGTCAATTAACATCCATTAGTTCAATGACGCAGATTAAGATCACTTCATAAATGTAACTTCGTCTGTCCATGTAATTTTCAAACGATTTATCTATAAATGACCGGAAAATAACCACTCCACTTCGCATTATCCAATGATATTTGAAGGTGTTGTGCCAGATGACGATTGGTCGGTGTATTATACATGACAAACAGGCTTCAATGAATTATATAATATTTTAAAATATAGCCTATGATATGGATTTTTAATTGAATCGGCACACAACCTTTTATTATTGAAAAAAAAAAGTTTAAAAATTGTTTGGTTTATTTTTTCCCTGCCGTCAAGCCATGGCCTACTACAGTCTTAAGGTGTTGGAATGCATGAGGGTGAGTAATTAATGACAGAATTTTCATTTTTGATTGAATTATCCCTTTAATTGAAAAGAATCGACTCAAAAGAGAGATTCATTCACAAATCTGGCATGGCTTAGTAGCTTTGATTCTAAACAGCCAACAGAAAAGGTGGGACACACATGATTTACTGTAAAGGCAAACACTTTGTATACCTCTATACAGTAACAGCTATCGTCAGACAAGAAGTAAATCAATACGATTTTATGAAATTGGCTTGTTAATCTGTCCCTCCAATTGGTTTGCCTATATGTCGCCGAATGGGTTACCCAGCAATGAACACAGGTACCATGTTGAGGGAAAAAATAACTAAACTATGGTGTTGAGGAGGGAACAATCAGTCACCATGGTTTAATAAAAAAAAAAAAAAAACATTTTTAATGCAGAAAACATTTCTCACAGTAAGTTTAAGTCAATTGCTATATTGTCAAATAAGTCTACTAAATAAGTCTAACAAAAGCCATGTTGTAAGTCACAAGGCTTTTCAGCCAAATTAAACAGTAAAAGCAAGTAATAGAACAAACTACTCATGAAACAGCAACCAGAATTAAAAATTGCCCCTCAAATATTCCCAATTCCATCACAAGCAGTTCCTGACAAACATTAAAAATTCCTGCAGTTTCCACTATTGTAGTGGATCCAAACCTTTCATGTGAGCTGAACTTGACCTGAAATGAAGTACAAATACAATTATTGTGTATGTGTCTGATATTTGTTTATGTTTTTTACATGTTAACAGGGGACCAGTGTCTGAGATAAATATTACAAAAAAACTCTTGCATCATCTAAATGTCCTGAACACTGACCCTGAATATCTTGGAGCCTGACAATGGGAAAGACTATACCGGAACTGTTCGAAAAATCCACAAGAAATTCCCAAGGGTAGCCTACTCGAGCCCATTTAGCCTTCCGGGTTGGTCTACAAATTGACGTCATTACTGAATTGGTGTATAGCCATAAATTAAAATATGTTCCTGACATTCAAGGGTTAATCCTAGGCTTTTTATTTATTTATATCTCAACTGGCATCTCGCATCACAAATGATTGCCTTCTTATTTGACGTCTTGCAACACGCTTATTTTTCCTGCCACAGTAGTCTCTCTCCACACAAAACTCAGTCTGTACACAAATAAGAATTGACCATCGTAATTTTCCCACCTGACAAATCTCGTGGCGCGCAACAGGAGGGGGCAGAGGCCAAAGCATGTCAGTGTCCCTTCGTCCTCCTAATGACCCATCCTCACCTTCTCTATATTATACGAAAAAGTGAGCAAAATTCTTGTGATACATGTTTGGCATGATACAATGAACAAGACGAGCACACGCACACTCGGAACAATAAACGCACGCGCAGATATCCTCTATGTGGTGATGAGAGATGATGACCTTGCGCGTGCATGGATGACAACTCCCTCAAAGGCGCCAAGGTAAATGTATTTACCTTCACGGTACAACACAACAACAGGTGCTATATGTGTCCAAACGCGAACAAATGTATATAGAGAAACCTGGTTGCACCTGTTTGCACGTTCGGCAACTGACAGTTTGCAGTTAAGGGCAAATTAAAGCGAAATTCATTCGGAATGGCACGGTACTGACCCGTACACGAGCGGTACCGGGTGCCGCCACATCGTCTGCCGTTCAAGGGCGGGCATTCTGACTGAAAACAAACGAGCGGAATCCACCAAAGTATCTCACCTTTTCCCTCCTCGTCCTCCCGATTCAGGTGCATGGCTGTTCGCCTTTGGCACGCCAACAAACGCTTGTTTCTTGCCCAAGTCCCCTCCAAGAAAAAGTCGAATCCAAAATGTGCTCTCGAGCTTCCAATGGGCGAGTGACCATGGAGCACCGCGCTCGCGCGTTCACTCTCTCTCTCTCTCCTTCCCAGCTTATTTCTTTCTTTCACTCACTTGTTTTTCTTTCCCAGTCCCCTCATTCGGCTGATTCTGGAGATGGCAGAGAGAATGTTTGAAGGAAGAGAGATGAGGGCAAGGAGTGGTGAGTTGCGCGTCCGTGTGACCGCCAGCTGATGGCACGAGCTCTAAAATCTCAGTTTGTGTGGATGAAGTCGAGTAAATTGGGACGTGTCAATCGCCTTGAGCAGCGTTTAAATACCTCTGAAGACTGCTCTCTGGCTTATTTTATGATTATATGTTGAAAATGCCACAAAAACTGGTTAAGCCCGAGCCATTTAAATGCCAAAAGTAACCGTGTTCTGATAAAATGGGGAAATCTATTATATCTATAAAAGAAAACAGGGAACCTGTACAGTAAAATGTGATTGAATTGTGATTAAATGGGTTATATTTATTTTCTAATGTGGCTTGGCAGTAAATGTTTTGCACATAGCTAAATGAACGTAGTTTAATATAAATCTGATTTAGATAAATCATAAATATCTCTTAAAAGTCATCAAGATAAAATGGGACAGCAGCTGAATAAACGGTTCCCATCAGCCAATCAGATCAATTCATACATCAAGCACGATTGAAAATGTTTCCAATAATTTACAATGATTGGATATTGAATAAAGAAATATATGACCCTCCCAATTTTATCTGATATCTTGCGATTTAACCACATGCACAGCTGAAGAGTAAATTATTTTGTGACGGTTATGGCATAGAAATTTACTTGGGGGTGTTTTGTAATATCATTTAAGTGATGTCTCGTCATTATTTTGCTGCTTATTGGTTTTCTAATATGATTTTTAGCATTTAATCATCTAACCTTGTACACTTGCCCCCTCAATCTCTCAAATGAATGCTTCATACTTTCAGCTTATCTATAGAAGTTAATGAACTTCTTGACATTTGATGAAGTGTGTTCTTGAATGTTGTAAATACACATATACCTTTGACCTGAATATATATTTTTAACTTTGACATGACATTTGTGCATTTGGTTACTATCCAAAGTAACTTACATTACCAGGCTTATAGTTCTTCACCATGTTATACTTTTCAGTTGGGCCACTCGCTGTTTTGTGTTCATCCATGCTCTCACTTTTTTATAATTCAAGCTTACTGTTTAACCATATTTTATGACCCTTTTCAGGATTTTTGTGCATGCGAAGTTTGAGTCTTGATCTCAGTGTGGACTCTTTTCATATCTGTCAGTTTTATTTAGCTGACTCAAGAATGAATCTTGTTTCACTATGGCAACATTTACCTCTTAATCTTACAAAAGGACCTGTAAGTCATCTCTTCTCTGACAATATCACTCATATGAGATCCACAAATAGAAAACCACAACCATCCAATCAATTTCCAATGGACAAAATCAAGTCCCACCCAACATTTTTTCTTTCTTTCTTTCACTCGTATATTTGTTGCAATAGAGTGGTGCAGGTGTGAAGTCACTTTGGCCAAAACGCTCTTCCGGTTCCATCATCCTGAAGTCGATGGGTTTTTTAAATGGGATTTTGGTTAAATGGTGAACAAGCTCAAGACACTTTCACGTTTTATTCTAGAACATAAAACACATTGGTATTACCCCACACGTGATTATTCAAGCTATTAAGTGTCTTAAATAGGCGGTTGCTTACAGATGGCTAAATGGGATTGAGAGAACGTCATCATCCGAAAAGATAAGCTAAGCTCAGCTCGGCTTTTACAGCCTCGTTATGCTCATAATTGTGCTCTTAAAAACTATTCTAACACAAAGTTTCTTGGAAAATGTTTTAGATAAAAAAAACTAAAAGAGTTGTCGGAAGCTTAGCGATTGTGATTGGATTGTTTATAGCCGAGTTTTTTTTCCTTCTTGCGACTGCATTTTGGCTTTATATTCATAAAAAATTGTGAAAATGATCTTGATTGGACAAAAATTTGTAAGCATCATAAACTTAATCAGAGAGCTTTTTTTAGTGATAATCTATGGAAAAGGCCTTTTGTCAAGATGCTAACTGCTGATTGGCTTACAAAGCGACGTCATTCCTGCACCACACTTTACGGAAGAAAATACAATTGCAGCTTTCATTTCATAATGACATAATGAAAAATTTGTATTGCTCTATGACCCTTATACTACAAGAAATATGTCTCTCGTCTCGAGTCATGCTTTAGTTTATAACCCTCTGAACAGGCATATTAAAAACACAGTCAATATATATATATTTTTGTTGCTTTTATTCAATGGCAACATCATCAATATTATATAAATGACAATGTTCAATTCAAATGTGCATTTGTGAATATTAATAATCTGAATTAACCATTCTGAATTGGCCAAATAATATAGTTCATAAGCAACTACTAATATAAATTGTGCTATCACTAATATAAATGACTCTTATTCCAATATAAGAGTTTATCTGCACTTTGTAGTGCTTTGAGAATGTTGTACATGGTTTGACAGAGTCAGTTTTACAATGCCAAAATAAAGCGAGATTTCTTTAACTTGAAAGCCTATCAATTTGGTCTTCGCTGTGTGTGATTAGCCAGTGTTTTGCCATTCCCGCAAGCTATTTAGCATCTGTACTAGATGGATGATTGACAGCTGCTTATGCTAATTATACCTTCTGATGTGCTGATGACAACATTACCTGCAGCCGAGTGCCATCATACTCACTGTGCCTCCTAAACACTGGGAGATGTCTCTTTTTATGAAATCACTCAGTCTCATCTTGAAAGCACACTACAGTGTGTGTCACCTGAGACAATCTGTTTTCCCAGCTGGTAAAACGGCACAACAAACTAATTGACTCTCAGCTCACGGCTGCAGGTTCAGATTCTCCAATGAAACCCAGTGATACTGACGCCCCCTAGAGGACCTTCACTAGAGTTGCATTATAATTCTAAACAGTGAGGGAACAGCAGCCATGCTGCAGTCAGTCAGAGAATAAACAGACCGTGTTTTTATATAAAGGTACCGTTTAAAGAAATGTGTTTCAGACAGGCTTCCAAAACAGAATGATCTAGAACAAATTCAAGAGAGCTTTAGACAAAGCACATATTGATTATTAAACATGTATCATTGAGATACTATTATAGTTTTTATTAATATTTAGAATTAGTTTTTATTTATGCATTTTCTCAGTTTAGGATTTAGTAACCTAAATTTGTTGTCAATTTGATTCGATTTTTATATTTTTTATATAGTTTTCATTCATTTTTATTTCAGTTATTTTATATTTTGCTGCCTTATAGGAACTAGCTGAAATAAAATCAGTTTAAGATTTTCTATTCTATTTTATTTTAGTGCAATTTTGTTTAAATCAAATTTTTATTTGTATTTCAAATTAAAAAAATGTTTATGGTTTTAGTTTTATAACCCTTACACAATTACAGAATATTTTGTGGGGATGTCTCACTAAATTATAAATATATAATAAGTATATCACAAAGACTTGTTTTAAATCTTTTTGTTTAAAGAGTATTTCAGATAGTTGATGTTTTATAGAATTTTTTTTATAATTTGCACATTGCATTTACTGTATAAACTAATTGACTTCTTTTAGCCGCTTTATCATCAGATTCCCTTTCTATTCTAAACTGTAAGTACAGAATTGTGGAATATCCTACTCTGCTTTCAGAAACTGGCCGGTGAATGCATAATGCCTTAGTAAACTGGACTCAGACATACCTTAAAGCATTTCTACCTGCCAAGGCGGTGTTTTTTCTGCTTTCAGACACAGTCTGTCTAGATCAGGGGAATCTAAATCTAATAATTTATGTGGATTCTGTGCAAAAAGACTCAATAAGAGAACGTTGAGCGGCCTTGAGTATCTCTATGTCCTTGTGAATAATGTATTTACCCCCCGACCAAGGAAAAGCATTCATATGTATTTCAGAAACTCCCACTGCAACCTGAGAACCATCATTTCCATGATGTTGAGTCTGTACTGTAAACACTGTTACTCCGTGGAGATCAGTTAGAGTAAATTGTGCATTGCATTCTATGAATTTCTGTATTTTCAAGGCGGGATTATTATCGTTAACTAAAAGTAGAAATGACAAAAAATCAACAACAACAAAAACAAATAAATATTAATTCAGCATATTAATAAATTTAAAACACTATCTGTTTGGCTACAAAGTATTGTTTTTGCATAAAGAATGTTGAAAAGGGAAAACAAATGAAGGCATCAGGCATCATTTGGCATCTCATTGGCCTCTGGGGTGTGTGTGTGCATCTGCTGGGGGCTTAACCTTGAGTTAGAGAAGCTGGACACCTAAATGAGATAGAACCTGATATGCTGGCTTCTTGTCATAGCCACTGGCGCATTGATATCACACTATCACTCCTACATCAGTCTGTCCGTATTGTTCTCTTTTGCACACAACACACGTATCCATAAACAAAAAGACTGTTGCTTTAGCATTTTCATTTTAACTCAAACTTGCTTTCTCAACCCACTTGACTCCACATTTCTATTGTAAAATCAGTTAAACTCAAGTCAAATTTGTGTCAACATCCTTGACATTTACCCATAATCCTTTCATCACTTTAGCATATCAAACTCTGAATAAATCACATTTTATCCACCCTCCATGGCTTTGATTCAATGCTAGTGAGCTGCATGCATTGGGCAGCATGTTAAGGAATCTCTATAAGTGAAAAGTTCCTGTAGGTGCAGCCTTTAAAGGGATAGTTCACTTTGAAATTAATTTTTTATATATGTTTTAGCTTCAAGGGCATCCAAGATGTATGCGTCTTTGTTTCCACAGTATTTTGAATTTTGATATTTTTAGGTCAAACCGTTCTTGTCTGTCAGTCATATAATGGAGGTATATGGGGTCCACCTCAAAGAGCATGCACAGAGAAGTCCAAATGAAACATGATTTAATGACTCGTAGATGTAAGTACACATTGATGGTCTAAGACACGAAACGAGCGGTTTGTGTGACGTCCAAGTGATCTGAAGGCGCGGGCACTTCGGTCTGCGCAAGCGCAGGAAAGCTCCGGAAGTGATGTCTTGCGCGGTTGCGGAAAAAAAAAAAATCAACGTTGTCTGTTGATATATCGAAATCGTCTTCCATTGCAATTTCCTGTATATCTAAATATGTTTAGATC